TTTTTTTTGGAAATCCAAATTTCTTCATAATTTTTGCATTTTGTGCGACAACCAGAAATAATGCTAAAATGACGATTGGAATAAAAAAGATCGTAATTTAGGGCTCTATCCCTCAATTGCAGCTAGAGCTTGGCAGCCCAATCGATTTTCAAAATTTGAGGCAAAAACTAAACGCGGTTCTAACGATCCAAATTTCTTAAAAATTTTTGCATTTTGTGCGAAAACCAGAAATAGTTTCTGAATGACGATTGGAATAAAAAAATAAGCGCAATTTAAGGCTCTATCCCCAATGGTAACTAGAGCTTGGCAGCCAATCGGTTTTCGCAATTTGAGGCAAAAGCTAAGAGTGGTTCTTTTTGGAAATCCAAATTTCTTCATAATTTTTGCATTTTGTGCGACAACCAGAAATAATGCTAAAATGACGATTGGAATAAAAAAGAGCGTAATTTAAAACTCTATCCCTCAATTGCAACTAGACCTTGGCAGCCCAATCGATTTTCAAAATTTGAGGCAAAAACTAAGAGCGGTTCTTAAGACGCAAAGTTCTTCACAATTTTTGCATTTTGCGTGTATACCAGAAATAATTCTATAATAAAATTGTGAAAAAAGTGAAAATAATTTCCTTAATTATTATTATAATTAAAAAAATTTCCACATTTTTTATTTTACGTTGCAAACAAGCTCATTATTTTACGAGTTCATAATAATATACTGGCGCGCTTAATTTACGGGGCATTTTGGCGAGCATTTGCAGTTCTACCCAGTCATTAAAACCTCAATATTATTTTAGAGTGGAAACATAAAAGCTCTTCTAAAAGTGCGGTTGTCCGGGGGCAATGTGGGAATTTTAAAAATATAATAAGTTCTGCGCTATAAAATCTATAGGTGCTTGAACATCGTTTTCCTCAAAACCCTTTAAAATCCAGATACTAAATAGTAACTGACTCAAATTGCCAAAAGTTTTATGACTGAGAAGGAAAATCGTTTCTAGCAATGGTTCCAATTTATTATCAGGAGGATTAGCATATGAAAAGCTTATAAGACCCTGAGAGCAAAGGCAATAAGAAAACCCTTTTGGCTTATGTACCTCCAAAATCTCGCAGTCATCGCCGAATCTATTTTTCCATTCGCCTTGATTAAAGTAACATCCTAACCAGATTAACTCTAACTGAGAATAACAATTATTATTATTATTGCTTCGCTACACGTTCCGCATATTAATTTCGAACTATTTCTGTAAATTTGCTGGTAATATACGGCCGAGTTTCGTCGAGTTTCCTAACTACCTAAACGTAGCATGGTGGAGCAACAAGAGATACGTTTTATGAATTAAATTAATTAATTTGGCGTTTGTAGTTTGTAGCTTTAGGGTCACAAATCACTTTCAGGAAGACTGATGGGTTGGGAATTTTTGGACAAGACTCAAGAGCGTGTATGGTCTGAGAAATTTTGCCAATTCAATCAACTTTAACTAGTTTATATTGCTCTAAAGTATGTGATAAGCAAGAAACACACGTTTACACTATATTTCAATATTAAAAATGTTCTTAGTAAAATAAATAAAGACGTCTGAGATTTGATTCAATAATGTTGAAAAATTTGGTCGAAAATAGCGACATGAAAACGCAATCAGCATAAAATTACAAACGTAAGGAATACAAAATGAGCGCATTGTTAAAAAAGTGACATTAACGCAAATATTGTATCAGAAAATGTTCAACTAATTTTTATGTCCATGTTAGAGATGAAGCTGTACAAAGGCTCCAAAGGACGAATTAAATAAATGTGGCCAATTTTCAGATAGCTAATAAAGACAAATTTAGAAATTGAGAATAATTTAGACACTGGTAGCAAAAATTGATGTTAAAAATATCAAGCAATTACACGAAAATAAGGAAACATTGCTATTATTAGTTATATTAAAAGCCACAAAGCAGAAGCTGCAAAACACTAAAATAAAGGAAGGTGAAAAAAACTAGTCAACTGATTTCAATTAATTAGTAAATATACTGATATAATAATAACGAAAGAAGAACAGCTAAACTATGTTTAAGGTGAATATGAAAATGATGTAGAACCAGAAGCACGGTAAACAACAAATTCGCAATTTAAACCAATTAATTACAAAAAAAACTTCATGTAAGCCTTAACAATTCCGAACAACCGACGAGAAGAAAAACTGCACAATTAAGTAAGAGAAGAATGACAATCAGTATTAAAGCCCTTTGTCAAATTTTACATTAAATTCTTGGCGAGAAAGAAAAAAATATCCGATTGATCTTAAGGTGTAAAAAATCAAACCCCAATCATCCGATTAATAAAATCTCAAAAGCAGAATCTAAATACACCAGGGCAATTTCGATCAAACATAATACCATAGAAAAGAATGAAGATGTGGGTATCAAATATAAACAAGTCGTCCAAATGATAATAAAAATATGGTCAAAAGCGAATTAAAATCAAGGCAGTAGAAATAAAGTACGCAATTAGTTTTAATCTTCAACGAAAAGTGTCTTTTAGTTAATATCAGAAAGTGAACAAGTACAAAAATATAAAGAATTAAATAAAATTAAAAAAAGAGACCAATGAAGGCATTTAAAGTTTGGACAACATTTAAATTTAGCAACACACTTGAGGAGAACAAGTATAAAGGACCGAATTTATTGTATTTAGTATCAAAAGTAAACTTAAACTAACCGTAACTTTTTAGTGCTATGATCAAAATAGTATCCACTCTGTATATTGAAACTGAAATGAAAGGAAATAAAACAAAGCTAATCAAAATCTAGAAAATGCAAAATCTCAGAAAGCCAGCAAATTTCAATCTTGATCTCAGCTGTTAGACAACTTACAAAGACGATTCGAAAAGTCCAACAAAGTTCAACAGAAGGTTCAAAATAAATTACATATTAACAATTTAGTAATGAATGGAGATCTCGAAATCAATCGATCCCTGAAGGTGTTATATTAAGTGGATGTTGCACATTAAACACTAGAAGCTAAAATGCTCGCATTTCCTGTGGTTTGGGAGAAAATTGTTTTTTTTGTGGACGATTGCAAATAGTTGATGGATGTCGTTTATAAACGCATAAGCCTCAAAATTCATCAAAAATCTCCTGAAGATGTCCCCCGTTTGAAACTTTCAGAACATATTAACTAGACTTTGCGCATTCGGAAATGAATGCGAAATGAAGCAGAAAGTGACACTTTCTTCGGATTTTCAAAAACTTTTATTTTTATCGACGGTTGCACTTAGTCGATGAATGTTAATAATCGCATACGTTTAGAAAACTCATWAAAAMATCGCTRAASATGTCTTCGATTCCAAACCTCCAAAACAAATTACGTTTATTTYGATTATTAAATTTTCAGAGCAAAAACGTTCTTTGTTGTTTTTTTTTTAGTTATTTTTCTCGACGATCGCTGACTTGATGCAAGTCGTTTAAAATCGCATAAGTTTGGAAATTCACAAAAATGTCCCTGAAGGAGTTCGCGAATTGAAATTTTCAGCAAAATCTTAAGCCGATTTTGCGCTTTCAATTTCAAGAGCAAAAATTAATTCACTTTCTGTAATTTTAAAGACTTCTTTACCTTTTGCTGAAAGTCGATAAATGTTGTTTATAATCTCAAAATTTTGCAAATTAATAAAAAAATTCTGCTGGCGTCCTCAATTAGAAATTTGCAGAACATATTCAGTAGAGTTTGCACAATAAATAGCTGAACCAAAAACTCATCTCATTTTCAGTAGTTTTTAAAAAGTCCGATTTTTCCCGACCGTTCCTGATAGTCGGTAATCGGATAACTTTGTAAATTTAGGAAAAAAATCCTAAAGGTGTCTTCTACTCGAAGCTTTTCACACATATCTAGCAGATTTTGAACATTTAATTCACACAGCAAAACCGCTCTCACTTACTATTGATTTAAAAAATATATATTTTTACGGTTGCTGGAAGTCGATCGATGTGTTTAAAATCGCATAAGTTGGGAAATTAATAAAAATAATCCTGAAGTTGTCTGAGACTTTCGGAATATTTTAAGTAGATTTTGCGCTCACTTTCTGTAGTTTTAAGAGACAATTTTTTTTTAAGTCGTTTACATTTCAAAAGTAAAAATGGTCTTTTCTTTTTGTAGTTTTTATAAAAACCAAATTTTTCAATGATTGCTCATACTCGAGAGAAATCGTTTATGATCGCAGAAGTTTTCAAATTAATGTAACTATCCTGAAGGTGTTCGCAATTCGAAACTATCAGAACATATTCAGAAGGGCATTCCGAATAAATTACCAAAAGGAAAACGCTCTCACTTTCAGGACTTAAACACAATCGATTTTTCTTGGCCGTTGCTGAAAGCCGATGCATGTGGTTTACTATTGCATAAGTTTGGAAACTCATCACAAAATCCCTGAAGGTGTCTTGAATTCGAAAATTTTAGTCGATATTGAGTATAGATTAAAGCATTAAATACCGAATATTGAAACAATTCTGCGAAAAAAGTGGTACCAAACTAGCAGTAAAATAAAGTTTAGAGAAAAACAGCAGACGCCAGGATTAAGTTTGACAAAGAAATAATAAATTAGCATAAAGCGATAAGTTCCAATTTTATAAGACGTATAAAAGATACCTTTTTAACAGTACTATTTAATTTTAAAAAAATTTCTAAGCAATCATAGATAACTGGAATTCGCCTTAATTTTCCAAATGGAATTTTTCAACCATCTAAACTTTTGCTTTTCGTTTTACATTTTTTTCTTTCGGCTTCGTAACGCCGCGTCTTGACTGTAGTTATTAAAGCCTCCAAAGCAGAAGGCAAATAAACAAAAAGCCCCATCAGGAAAATTGATCTGGAAAACTGATGGAAAAGCGATTATCCGGGGAAAACACGGCTTTACAAGCACTCAAGACAAGGCGGAAAGTTTTCCTTTTGGAGGATCAGATGTGGATACGTTTAGATGAATGTGCCGAAAGATTTGCGAGCTAATTTTTTTCTCGTTTTTTTTCAAGGAAAGGAGTGCAATGAATTGTGGCAATGTGGAGCTATGTTATGGCTGCTGCAAGGGGTAATGTAAGCAGCAGGGCCGGTTCGGTGTTTACAGTGCAAACGGGCAACAATTGCGGCCCCCCTGGTCCTTGCAGGGACGGACTGAACTTATGCAGGTCATTTAGTTCGCTACAATGAGTTCCAATGGCTGAAAGTCTTTGTGCAGGTTTCAGCCCAGCCATTTCCAGCCCACCAATCATCAGAAGCTGCTACTCAAAAGCTTCTCCAGAACAGACTTTAATACGTCCCTGTCTCGAGATGGTTCCAGAGACGTACTGGCCGAGGTCCGCGTGCAGACGTCTTATGCTGATAGGGGACAGAGCTTATCGGAGACCACCCTGGATAATCCCTCTCAAGTAGGTTGAATTTATTTTAAATTTTGGTGAGTAAGTAGGAGCTGATCTCAGGCACCTCAAGAACCGGTGTCGGGCCTATTGGAGCCTGATCACAGTTCTTCCAGTGCTCCATGTAGGGGTTCTTTCGATTTTGTTAAACAATTGCAATGACCTCTTATTCAGGTTCAATGGAGCTGGGAGGTCCGAAATAATTTTAAAATTCTTCTCCATGTTCGCTTAATGTATTTAAATGAAGTTGGAGCACGTCGCGAATGGCTTAATTGGAATTTTTAGTACGGCGTCGAGTCGCTGCATAACAAAATAATTTTGCAAACTTTGACTTTGTCGGTGCATGCGGGCGTGATGCAAATCGGGATTTGCTATTTTACCAAAAAAATCGCACTTTGCAGGTTCGGTTAATATAATCGTTGCGGTAGTCGAAATGATACTAATCCTGGAAAAAAATGAAAAAATTGCTGCAGATTTAATGCAGTTTTTCATACAATGCAGTGAACAGGTGGAAATGTTCAAAAAGTTGGTCGCCTGGACAATTTTCTAGGCAAGTGCTGGTTAATTAAACCCGCAGCGACTGGAATTAAAACAACGAAAACTTAAGACATTGGAAACATATAAACAGTTAAGTTAGTAAAATGTATGTAAATAGACAACAAAATTATAATCATACATTAAGAAGCAGCACAAGTTGCAGTTGTAATTCAGGTTCTGATCGGGTTCCAAAATAATATTCTAAGTTCTACAGCTAAATATGCAGCAAAAAGTGCAGCTAACTATACTAAGTTTAACCAAACCAAACCAGACTTAAAGAGCATGAAAGTTAAATTATTGGGGGAAAGTAAATAACAAATAAATGTAAAAGTGTGATTGGTAACCTTATAAACATAAAATTATTAAAAATTAACACATGTTTGTTTTAAACGAAAACTTTTACGCAAAACTGATATTTATCGATCCCCTTTGCATACAGGAATGAACGTTTGAAGCTACATAAAAAAAATTGAAATTAAATAAAGTATTCTAATTGGCCAATGGAAATGTAAATGAAAACGAAAAACAAACAGGGAGTACACGGTCGAGGTCTAAATAATTAAAACAACGTGACTTATTAAGGAATAAATGGTTGCTGAGCGCGACGAAATTAATGCTGAAAAGATACTGGACGGGACAATTATAAACAGGGCTTACATTCGAATAAATCGATCTGTTCACATACCGACGAGTGATTTAATATAGTTTTTAAAACAAAATTTTGATGATTTACTTGCTGTGCAAATGAAGAAAGTGCAAATCAATCAATTATAGAATCCGGTCATTCCTGGAAAATCGCACAGTTAAATTTTCCTAAATGATTGCTGGGACTGTGCCGAAGCGAAGCCATTTACAATAGTTTGCCATAGTAGAAGTCAAAAAAGGTTAATTAACGATTTTATCTGTGGTGGCTGGTTATGAAGGAGTTGCAAATAACGGATGATTATTATCCCCAAAAGTTATTTCAATCAAGATAATTGGGTTTCAGAGTTTTAACCAGGACATTAGAATAAAAGTAAAGAAGAATCCTTCAAGCATTCAAAAATTGCTTTTCCAACAATTAAACTTAGTTAAAACTAAAGAATTTATAAATCAGAAAAAATCCTTACCAGCTTTTTGCAAGCTGGCGCGCCATCCTCCATTTTTTGCCCATGAATTCACGTGTCTACACGGCACTTGATGAATATGGGACTAAAATTTCTACATGTAGACATTTGTAGACAGACGTACTTTTTCTTATAGAATCAAACTTCACAGTCAAAAATATTCAGCAATTTATTTGGAATTTTAATGTTGATTGTACTTTTCCAAATCTTTATAAACCTCTTGGTAATAGTTTCTGAGTATAGCCTTGTATCACTTAAAAAACCCGATTTGTACAATAATTAATACATTATATAAAATATAATTAGTTTCAATAAATCTGAGCAATTCTAACAAACAAGTCTGGATCCATGCTTAAGAGACAGCTCAAGTACAAAAGCAAAACTACTGTAGAGAGAAGATAAAAATGTAATCACTACTGATCCGGCACTTTGCCTGAAACAAATGTTTTCCACATAATTGAAAAAAGGATTTGTATTCTCTTGGTTTCAACTTTTGTGAGCATCTTAGTTTTATCTAGTTTAGTTTAAAATTTTATTTCCTTTCAGAATACGGTCTACACACGTTGCTCGTATCAGCTTCTCTGCGTTCTCAAACAATTAGCTTTAAAGTCAAATATTATTAGAAATTGTTTTGTGCATCCCAATAAATTTGTTTGACACGATCAATGAAGAGAACTTGTGCTAGGTATCAATTTGGATAAACTTTCATCTTGGTGGCGCAATTCACATTGTCTAAATGTTCTCGAGTATGGTGGCGCTGCTTGAATAAGCTTAGCTTCGAAATTCTCTCCAGTGAACCTATTTTCGATTAAATTGGAGCTTGCACTTCATTTAACCCAATCACTAGTTAAAAGTATCTTTAATTCTAAGCACACTGTTTTACAACTTAGGTTCATGGTCTGGGTGTAAGGTGATCTTACATGAAGAATCAATGTCTGCAGTTCATTCATAAGTTTTCCGCAATTTGGCAAATAATAATTAGTAAAATCAACCGTCCAGCGTGGTAAAATATGAGTTCGAACAACTGTTTTTAAAGAATTAAAATAGGTTTTGAAAAACATACGAATAATTTTTGTTTAAAATTGGTCATATAATTCATATAGGAAATATGTCGAAAACCTGGGCAAACACATTGATTTAAAAAAATTCTGGAATCAATATTAAAAAACGCTGGTAAAAACGAAATGGAGCTCGATGTACACAATCAAATTTAATTGGTCCGTTTTATTGCCTTATAAAATTGCGCTCAATCAACAAGAATGGCCTTTCCTATTTACAAATTGTAGGCTTTTCTCGAGCAGATCTTATCTGTTATGGCTTTTGTATTGCTCTAAATCTTTTTCATTACATTTTTTTTATGCCTGGTTGCGAGGCCACGGTTAGGGTTTTTTTTATCCTCGATAGCTTCTAATAATTAATTCAACACAAATTAATATCAATTTTACCATAAAATACCGGGCTATCAGAGATGAAACTGAGAACAATTGAGCCATTGGAGGGAATTTTCAAACTTTCATTCTAACTTTTTAATTGATCCGTGTAACTCGTAGACACTTACTTCCCATTGCCAATTTACTTCTCTAGATATTTTAACAAAACCAATCAATCACGGTATTTATTGGACCATTTTAGGAAAGCAAGTATTGGGTTCGTGCTGAAAGAACGTTGTTTTTGCGGCTCAAACAGTCACTTGATAAAGATGAGTTTCACTCGGCTAAAGTGTTTTTCGTGCGTCTTTTAGAGAAATTCCCGCAGTAATTAATTTCAGTCTTTAGTTTATGGGCTAATTGAGAATCGTAGATTTAGTCACGTCATGGACCCTCGAGTAAAAAAGCTGCTATAAGTAAAGTAAACAGCAAACTCGGCGCATAAAACACTTAGAACAAAGTTTAGATGAAAATACTAATAAAAATTAGTTTTTGTTCGTCTCAATGTGGGCAATCAGGTTTGCCTTTTACGATAGCGATTATTTATTTCAGTTAAAAAGTCCATCCTGCTTTTGGCATTAGGGTGTTTGTCCTTAGAAACAATTTATTTCAGGCATCCTGAACTTCTGTCGTCTTCATTGTTTCATGTCTTACTTCTTTAAGGCAACTTTCATGGCCTGCAAATTCTGCTCAGAGATATTTGAAGCTTTTTACCTGCTGTCTTCTCGGTGTTCATGAGCATAGTTAATAATTAGGCTAAAGTGTTAAAAGAATCATTATAACATTGGGAAATTATCTGCAGATTTTGCAATAAGCACATCCATAGCATAGCAAACAGCATGGAGGATTCCCACTTTAAATCCAGCTGTTTTGGGAAGAATTTCTATTATTTTGTACATAGAGTTTGATTTTCTTTAAAAAAATCCCCCAAAATTGTTCATTTATAGATATAAACATAAAATAACTCAATTTGCGAGTGTTTACTGTTGAAAAACATTTTAGTGTGATGCCTAGATCGTATAACGAAGCAACCAGCAGACAACTCGGATTACATGCCAGCATCGGATTCGATTTATTGATAAGTTTTTGTATTTTGTACTTCGATGTCTTTTATTAAAATTGACTTAGGCATCTGCACCCTTTTTTTAGTTTTTTTGGCAAAGTCTACCTATTTTTTATGCCTTTTCACTCGTTAAAACGGTTGTTTAGCCCGGATTACATTGTAGATAAAGGGCGTTGAACTAAAACTGTTTCAACTATGAGAGTATACTCCTGAGAAAATTTAAATAACAGGGGGTTAAAAATTTTAAATTAATATTTTTACTGAGCCGCAAATTTAACACGTATTTAAAATATTTCTTTACCTTTGACTCTGAATATTTTCTTAATCGGCCATCCGATCTGAGAAGTGTTTTTACTGAATGATAGATCCACATTCTTTGACAAAATTTAAGTTAGAAGATAGGCAACAAGAATCAAATAAAGATAATCTACATGGTGTTTAATTAATGTCACATTTTCTTAGTCAAAGTTCAAGTACATCTGCAGACAATATCGGACAGCTCAGACAGAAAAAAGGGACACGGTGTTATAGCATCATGTCTTCTGAGTAATTTGGATCTTTCATCGTCTGTTTGCCTTGAAAATTTCGAAAGATATTATTTATTATAACCGTTATCTCAGATTTTCTGCTCAAAATTCATTTTGTATGTAATTACGTATGTAACTCCGTAAGAAAGCAAAACAAAAAATAACCACCTTAGACGTAAAAATGAGAATAGTTTATCTTAAAGGAAACAAAAACTTGAACAACTTAATTGACAGAACAGAGAGCATAAACAAATGTTGTTTACACAGCTTTTTTTCCAGAAACTTAATTTGCAGATAAAAAAGTTTCACTAAATATCGCACGGAAAATGTGATCGTTCACAAAAATATAACA